CTGGGTTGTGGCGTCAGCAGTTCTGGACTGGTTCGCTTCTCTTACATCTGGTTCACTCACCTCACCAGCTGATCTACTGCACCACCTGTTCAGTACTTGTTGTCACTCCTGACCAGGACCTGTTATGGATGACGTCACTCCTGACCAGGACCTGTTATGAATGACGTCACACCTGAACAGTACCTGTTATGAATGACGTCACACCTGAACAGTACCTGTTATGAATGACGTCACACCTGACCAGTACCTGTTATGAATGACGTCACACCTGATTGAAACGTGGGTTGGGGGGGGGGAGGAGGGACCTCTTGATGACGTCACACCTGACCAGCAGCCCCGGGCTTAAGGGCCACGACCGCTATAACAGTAAAGCCCCAACAACCAGACTGACCCAACCGGTCCGTGTGTGGGGGGAAGGACCAGTTTGTGGTCTGCGAGGGAAGACCAGTTTGGTTCGAGCAAGCTGTCAACAGATGGCGGTCATCCCTCTCGGTAACAATAGGGAACAGGACTTGTTTTTCATTCATAAACACCACCGTATGTGTTGTACTCTTGGCGGACGGACGGACGGACGGGGGTGGGCGGAGGAGATGGGAGAGGCGGAGTAGGGAAGGTGGGAGTGGGCGAAAGTTATGGAGGGAGAGGGTAATGGGAAGGGAGGGTAGGGAGAATGGAAAGAAGGAGTTGGGTTGGCTACAGTACACAGACTTTTAATGGTCAGGATTAGGAGACTGTGCAGCTCCTTGTGGCAGCCACACTGGTCACAGGATCAGGTTATGGTGTTTGTGTTCCTGACATAACTACCTTTGTGATTTACAGGAGTGTGGAACAGTACCTGTGTGACTTGCAGGTGCAGGGCAGTACCTGTGTGACTTGCAGGTGTAGGGCAGTACCTGTGTGACTTGCAGGTGTGGGCAGTACCTGTGTGTGACTTGCAGGTGTGGGGCAGTACCTGTGTGACTTGCAGGTCTGGGGCAGTACCTGTGTGACTTGCAGGGTGTGGGGCAGTACCTGTGTGACTTGCAGGTGTAGGGCAGTACCTGTGTGACTTGCAGGTGTAGGGCAGTACCTGTGTGACTTGCAGGTGTAGGGCAGTACCTGTTGCAGATTTCAGACATTCACACACACATCACTCCTCTACATACCTGCGCTTGGCCTAACATAATCGGACTCACGGATCTCTGAGGGAGACGAGAGGTGTACCCGGCCAGAGAGAGAGAGAGAGAGAGAGAGAGAGAGAGAGAGAGAGAGAGAGAGTAGGTAAAAGTAGTAAGAATTGGCTATGGAGGCAAGACTCTCTCTCTCTCTCTCTCTCTCTCTCTCTCTCTCTCTCTCTCGTAGTGAACATCAGACAGGTTGGTGACGGGCGTACCTGTGTCACGCCCTCTTCAGCGTAGCCTTCAGCTGGAAACTTGTTTATAAGGCGGCCAGAGCTCCTGGTTTTGAGTGGCGTCTCTCTCTCTCTACTAAAAATATCGTCTTTAAGAATATATGAATTATGAGGACAATGATAATAATAATAATATTAATAATAATAATAATAATAATAATATCACCACCACCACCACCACCAACAACAACACCTACAAAAAACAACAACAATAACAGCATTACCACAACAATATTAAACCAGCTGTTTCTAAGTAATCATTCTCAAGGCTTCGCTCAACGCCTAAATAAACTGATACTACCTGAGTTGTCCTAAATATACCGAGATGACCTCTTGTTTGGTGGAAATTGGGAGGAACACCAAATAAATTGAAGGAGAGAGAGAGAGAGAGAGAGAGAGAGAGAGAGAGAGAGAGAGAGAGAGAGAGATTGATATCCTTATTCGTTAAACAACAGAATTATAACCAAGAGGTTTTAGAATTGGAACAAAAACATACAGACGGACGGACACTTTGACCTACGAACACACGAACGAGCATATTCACGGACGCACAGACTCACGGACGTTCATAGAGATAGAGGCGTTACGTCTCCTATTAGAAACTCAAGTCCTGATATGTAATACTCTACGAACGGTGTCACATTCCTCTCACCTCTCACTCAAGGTAGATAATGTAGTAGATGTGTTACAGAAATGTCTTGATATCACATGTTTTTGGACAATATATGCCCACGTGTAAGGTAATGTATAGGCCTATGCTTAATGTATTCTGTATAAAACATTCCTGTATTTGTATTATATCTGTATTTGGATTTTGGAGTTTTTGTTGCTGTATTAGTAAATTGAAATTGAAAAAGGAAAGTAATTTTACGCTAAGGCAAATAATTGTTGTTTTTATAAGCGTGATTAGTTTAACACGATGGCTTGTGTGTTGCTCTTTCTAAGGGACGCACACGCACACACACACACACACACACACACACACACACACACACACACACACACACACACACACACACACACACACACGGTAACATGATAAAAAAATATATATTATTGTTTTGTTAGTGTGACCCACAAGTTGACCTGATGTATGTATGTTTTCAACTAACAAGGAACATGCAAGAGGATCTCACGTGACCTCCTGACCCAATGTGACCCTTCTCCTGACCCTGATTCTCCTGACATCCCCACCCACCCACCCCCTCCCCCCCACCCCAGAAAATACAAGGTGATGCGCCCAGCTTAAGGGAAAACACTGTATAATGATGTGATGGAGTATAGCTGGGAGACAGACACCCATTTACACACTTGAGAAATGATCAGGAAACTGGAAAATTATATAAGAACTTATTAAGTATTCATGATGCACAAGATGAAGAATTATTTAATGATAATTTAGGAAAGGAACACAAGGAGCTGATGCAGGTGGCTCTTGTAGCTTAGGGGAGATATATTATTTTTCCCTCGCTAATGGGTTAAATATGTTAATGTGAAGAGTAAATGGGGGATTGGGATCTAGATGAACAAGTTGGAGGAGGAGAAGCTTGCAAGGAGATTAGTCTAGGGTCGAGTTACTACTCCACCTCGTTAATTAAGTCCCTGTTGGTGCTCTCAAGGTTAGGTTAGGTTAGAAGACGTAGTTAATTTTATCAACAATTTAGTATAAACACCGTTGTATGCAGGTAAAATCACATTCACTTGTTGAGTCAGGCAGAACATCTCGACCAAGCCTACACCCTCATGCAGCCACGAGATTCACAGAGATATTACCACCCTAACTTGTATCGAGTGAATGTAACGTAGGTAAGGTCTCGGTGTAATCCACGTACCATTTTGGTCTTTACTGCTGTATTTTAATTCACATCGATGTGTTGGGTGCGTCCTTATATCTCCAATTACGAGGGAAATTCAACCCAAATGCCTATAAGTGTCTTGGCTCAGGTACTGTATTTGATAAGGTATTCACAGTTTCCACGACAAAGAAACATCCACATGAAAACGAGGTCAAGTGAATTTCTCATCGGGGATATCAATTCAGAGTTCGACAATAAATTAATTTTGATCAGAAGCTTCGTCTTACCGGGTCGAGAACATGGTGTGTATCCAGTTCTCGGCGGCGTTGCTCTTGTCTAACTGGAAAGACTCGTTCAACTCCAGGCTCCAGGCGGCGGCGACATCATCCTTCCTTACGTTTCCCAGTATTACACCACCCGACCACAGCTAGAAAAGTTAGACCCGTGTCCCTCTGTCTTTAAGGGAGAGCTGACACCTTCTTCTCTCCCTTCCTCCCTTCTCTCTCTACCTCCGTCCTTAGGGGAGAACTGACACCTTCCCTCCCTCCCTCCCTCCTTCCTTCCTCCATGTGTGTGTATGTGTTTGTGTGTTTACATGGCGACTCTACCAACCTTGGTGTTTCAGACGATGTTCAATAATAATCAGTATTTACCGTCACTATTATCCAAAATTATGGCCGCTTGGACTTGGTTCAGGCTCACTGAATGATTTGCACACACACACACACACACACACACACACACACACACACACACACACACACACACATAGAGGGAAATACAGATATACTAACAAAATAGAAAGAGAAAAGGGGAGGGTGAGGGGACAAAAACGCTGCCAGAGAGAGAGAGAGACAGAGACAGAGAGAGAGAGATAATGAGGAGGGTGCAGGAAGTGTATGTGGTAAGAGGTAGAGGGAGACTCACCACCTCCTGCCACTGCCCCGCTGTGACCTCACCCTTCACCTTTGGACCTCCAACTGCCTCGACTCGTCCACTGGAGGAAGAGGAAGGGTAGAAAGAGGAAAAGGAAGAAGAGGAGGAGGAGGAATTAAAGACTCCTCCTCCTTCTCCTCTTCCTCCTTCTTTTTCTTCTTCTGCCCCTCCTCCTTCTAGTAATTTTAATTGTGTTTCTATATCTCCGTCTCTTTTGCTTTATTCCTATTTGGTCTCTTTCTATACTTGTGTCTGTTTCCGTTTTTATTCTCTCTCTCTCTCTCTCTCTCTCTCTCTCTCTCTCTCTCTCTCTCTCTCCGGTCCGTCTTGTTGTCTAAGAGATCTTTCTCACAGGCCGTGGCTCTAGTCTCTTGTGAATGAAATATCCTTAAGTTGACCTGTCTTCACCTCTGTCACGACCCCCTGATTAATCTGTCTTGCAGCAGACACCACATTGGACCTCTCTTGACCCCCCGTGACCTCTCTTGACCTCCCAGTGACCTCTCTTTCAAGCAACCATCTCTTATAAATACTTGATCATTCAATCACATTATTGCATTTCATTTTCTCAAGTGTTCTTATATTTCAGACGTAAATTGTTTAACCATTAATGATAATTTGGCTAATTTTGGGATTTTTTTTTTGTTTTTTTTTATTTGCAATTTTTGTTTAATCCGTTTAGGGTTAATTATTCTATATATATATATATATATATATATATTAATTGTCTTCACTTGTGTTTTAAGGGGTTCCTCTGTGTGTGTGTGTGTGTGTGTGTGGATAAAATTTGTCTGAATTTACTTCTACCATTTTTATAGAATACCTTACTCTCGTGGTTACATCTTATCCTGACCTGGTTTGACTTCTATTTGCAGGCGATGAACGAGTTGGGTGAGGAGGGGGGCGAGGGCACGTGGCGGCAGCAGTTCTGTGACCAGCACCCACTCACCGCCGCCACCACTGCCATGCTCAACATCCATGGCTCAGAAGAACAACAACCTGTTACCCTTTATGAGTACTATAAGATTGACGGGTGAGTCCATGTTCCTTCTGTTTCTCCTTGTTAAATTAGGCTGAGTACATGTTCTTGGAATTTCTTATGTACTGTAGGTAAATGCTCCGGGTGTCTCCTTGTTCATGCTCTCAGATTTGTGTATTCTATGGGGAAAATGCTCCGTGTGTCTCCTTGTTTTTGGGTGGGTAAATGCTCTTGGGATCTCTCTGCTGTAGGTAAATGCTCCTTGTTACTCGTTGTTTAGATGAAATACTCCTAGAATCTGTTCGTGTCAAACGCTCTGATCATGACACCTGACACTGAGAGGGCTGGGAAGTTTGTGTAATGTCTGCTTATTTACCAACTTTATTATTATTATTATTATTATTATTATTATTATTATTATTATTATTATTATTATTATTATTATTATTATTCATAGGCCTACGTATTATTATTTATAGGCCTACGTATTATCATTTTAAAAGTAAAGTTATGCAAAAAAATATCACTCGCACTCTTCTGGTTATTGGTTAATGCGTCACCTTAACTGGTCTATTTTTCTCTCGGCTCACAACTTTAGGTTCGTTTGTCTGTCCTCTACTTGGTGAAAGCATTTTAGCACAACTTAACAAATAAATACAGTAAATTGGATCACCTGAAGATTAACTATCCTAGCTTGTTTCATCTAAAGGTTAATCATCCCAGTTTATTTCACCTAAAGATTAACCACCCCAGCTTATTTTTCCTGAATATTAACCACCCCAGCTTATTTCACTTGAATATTAACCACCCCAACTTATTTCACCTGAATATTAACCACCCCAGCTTCTTTTACCTGATGATTAACCACCCCAGCTAATTTTAACTTAAGATTAACCGTCCTAACACTAACCTATTCTAACCCTCCAAGATAGCGTTAGGGTGGTTAATGCTCAGGTGAAATAAACTGGGGTGTCTAATATTCACGTGATCCAAATATTTTTCTCAAGTAGTCTGTATTAGTAATGTTGCCTCATTGTTGGGAAGGTGCGTCAGCTGGATAGAAATTAATTAGCAGGTGCGGTCCCGTTTTCGGTTTTTTTTTTTTTGCTGGGTAGCCGGATGTTTGTGACATGTCGACAAGATAATAATGATTTGTGACAAGAAAATATGAGCCAGCTAGACTTAAGCTCATCTAACCTGATTTGACCTGACCTAAACTAATACAAGCTAGTCGAACTTGACCTGATGTATCCTGACCTACCCTAACTTGACCTATTGTCACCTTGCTTGACCGAATGTAACATGAACTAATCAAACTTAACCTAACTTGACCTAATCTATTCTGACCTGACCAAATTTAACCTACAGTATACTAACCTTACCTTACGTAAACTTAGCATAACCTCACCTAACTTATCCTGACCTCACCTTGACACATCTTGGCATCTCCTAACTTAACCTAAAGTAACATAAACTAATCCAATCTATCCTAACTTGACCTAACATAACCCAACCTAAGGATATGAGACTAAGATAAGTTTATACTCTGCCACACTGAGGTCCACTGAAGCTTCATACAAAGACCAGTTTAATCTCGACATAGGGTCAGGAAGATATATCCGGGTGCCTTGCAAAAAATGAAACGAGATCAGCCATATCTGTAACAACTTCTAAATCATTTCCCGTAATAGTTTTACCGTAGCTGTGATAAATATAACATAGGGCACAGTTAACACCCGCGGTCGAGTTGCCATGTTGAAATACTTAACAGAGAAGGCGGAGACGAAGGCTGTGATGAAAAACACCTTTTTAAGAGTTCAAACCTTGAATGCCATTTCGAGTGTCAAAAAACATTTATCGTCATAATGTAAACAGACTTACACCTGAGTATCCAATGTTTTCACACCATAAGATTCAATTTAAACATAACTTTTATCCAATTAGGAAAAGTAAGAGTAGTTTTATCCAGACATTAAAGTTAATATTTTCCTTCATAGCCTTGGTCTTTACCTATATGGATAAGCTATTTTTTTTGCTATTTTTTTTATAATTGCACTAATTTACCTGTCTACTCCAGCACCTGTATCATGGCTTACTTATGTCCACAGACCCGCGCACTACGAGTACTACAGAGATGATGGGTTGGTGATTATGGTGTTGTTTAGCGAGTTGGCTGTGGTTAATGGCTTTGCTTTTGTTTGTGGTTAATGGCTTTGATTTTGTTTGTGGTTAGTTTGCTTTTGTTTGTGGTTAATGGCTTTGATTTTGTTTGTGGTTAGTGGCTCTGCTTTTGTTTGTGGTTAATGGCTTTGCTCTTGTTTGTGGTTAGTGGCTTTGCTTTTGTTTGTGGTTAATGGCTTTGCTCTTGTTTGTGGTTAGTGGCTTTGCTTTTGTTTGTGGTTAGTGGCTTTGCTTTTGTTTGTGGTTAATGGCTTTGCTTTTGTTTGTGGTTAATGGCTTTGTTTATGTTTGTGGTTAATGGCTTTGCTTTTGTTTGTGGTTAATGGTTGTGCTTTTGTATGTGGTTAGTAACGCTGCCTTGGCTTGGCATGTTAATTGTGGTTAATGCTTTTGCTTGGATAAATTTCGCTGTGGTTAATGATCATGTTTTTGTGTGCAGACTTCTTACCACATCTATTCATCTATCAATTTATTCCATATTCCCCATTTCATCTATTTCTCCTATCTATTATTTCATCTATCCATTCATCTATCTGCTCTTTCATCTACTATCGTCAATTTGCTACTTGCTGGGATGAAATTCCACTACTGATCATTACATACATACATACATACATACATACATACATACATACATACATACATAATGTTATTTAATCTAAGACCATTATTTACGTATATAACTTGAGGCCTTTTTCTATGTAATATAAGTTCATTATTTGTTTATTGTTTACGTCTATTCAAAAAGTAAGAGATGGTGTCCCCTAGGGTTATTTTTTCTCCCAATATTTTTTGTTTTTCCCTATTTTTGTCTTTTTGGGGTTTAAATTTCCTTTGGGGGGGAATTTTGCCATTTTCTTGTGTAGGTGGATCTCTCTCTCTCTCATAATACATTTGCAGTATTGACCAAGCTTCAGAAGTCAAGGTAAGAAATTATTTACCTTTCTTTGATAATTTATTACTGTTGAGTTATTTGCATTTTGTTTTCACTTTCAGACCAACAAGGCGTACAGTATATAATCACTTATTTATTAAATCAATTATGAATTTACATTATTCATTTTACATGTTGTTTTTATTACTCAAAGATTGTGTATATCTTGTTAATTATTCACTTAAACTGATAATTATATATATATATATATATATATATATATATATATATATATATATATATATATATATATATATATATATATATATATATATATATATATATATATATATATATATATATATATATATATGAAAAAATTATATCCGGTATATTTTATTACATCAATTATTCGCTTATTTTAATAATTATATACATGTCTAAAACAATTATTAATTTACACCGATAATTATATGGATATCAAGATTAATTTACATTATACCTTATTAAATCAATTACTAATTTACATTAATAATTTTATATACGTGTAAATGAAGCAGAGGCACTGTTCATTTTACCTGTTCTCGGGGATTCATTTACATAGTGTTTTTACCTGTTCTAATGAGCCGAGTTATCAAGGGAGCGAGACGGCCCGGCCCCTTATGAAGCCTTGCACTACCTCCTTATCTTGGGTGATCAGACGCACTTTCACAGAGACTAGTTTTACCTGGATTCTTATAAACGTCTAAGTGAATCTCTTTGTTTTATTCTTTGCTGCATCACGTGGAGATTAGACACCCTAAGTTTATTTCAATTTGGGATTAACCTTTATAAATGGTGATAAAACCTAACCTAACCCAACCCAACCCTATTTCCCCTCCTCCTTCTACTTTACTTCCTCCTCCTCCTCCTCTTCCTACTTCCCCTCCTCCTCGTCCTCCTTCTACTTACCCTCCTTCTCTTCCTCCTCCTCACGCCAGCTAGGTGCGTAGATCCTTTTTATTAAAGCTCGTGTTTTTTTGTGGGTGTGTGTGTGTTTGTATTCAGGACGTGGTCAGGTTAGCTTAGCTGTGGTTAGGTTGGGTTAGATTAGGCTAAGTTAAGTTAGATTAGATGAAGTTAGATTGTTAGATCTGGTCGAGTGTGGTTAGGTTAGATTGAGCTAAGTTAGGTAAGGTTTGATTAAGTTAGATCAGGTCGAGTGTGGTTAGGTTAGGTTAGATTGAGCTAAGTTAGGTAAGGTTTGATTAAGTTAGAACAGGTCGCGTCAGGTCACCACTCAACCTGGATATCAACACACAATCCATTTATCTCCTGAAGGTGTTCGTATAAGGATTTAAGACGTCTGTAAACTCCGGCTCCCTAAATGTTATTGTGTGTGTGTGTGAGTGATGTGGATGGGTGACCTACTCACTCCCTACAGGTAAGATGACAGGGGTCTCCGGGCTACCACCTGGGGGAGAGAGGAAGGGGGAGAGAATAATGTGCAGGGGAGGAGAGAGAGATGTAGAGAGAAATAGGAGTAGGGGCAGGAGAGAGAGAGAGAGACATGAAAATAGCTTAAATTTCCCTACATAATACATGAAACTACCATTTATTTATGTTTTACCTCAACAGGTAAATATGGCTAATTAATTAAGACCCTCTAACCCTTGCCATGTATGTGTACAGTTACATCCAACATCTGGTCAGGAGAAGCATCATCTTATCTTTTGCAATATTTTAATTTACATGCAGCACCTGAGATCATTACGTCACACAAGTACAATCGTCGAAACTAGCAACACATCACTTTATTACCAGAAGCATAAGCTAAGCCTAATTCACCTTTCCCTCATAAAATCAATTAGGGGAACATTCAGGTGTTGATCCGTAGGAGGATGAGGAGGCGTAGAAGGGAGGGGGAGGGGGGGGTCCTTTTAAACCCGGTAGAATTCCTGTGGTCTTGCTATTCTTCTCCACTTCGTCACCTCCTTCCCTCCCTCCCTCCTTTCCTTCCCCATTCACTACAGTGGCCTCGTCTTGTATTCCTCCGCCAGCTGGATTGTAAAGTGAAGAGGAAAAAAGCAAGTTTTTGTAATTTTCGTTTTATTGCCACTAGCGGTTTGGTATTTGTCAACAGAGAGAGAGAGACAGAGAGAGAGGTCCGAATTCTTTACCATTGCTGGAGAAAATTTTGAACAGATCACCCTGCGTCTAAGAAACTATCTCTCACCTATATCTCTCATTAGTATCTCTCACCTGTTATACGTATCTGTGTTTCATGACTATTTCTCACCCGTGGCGCTTATACTCGTTAATTAATACACCTGCGTTATCAAACCTTTTCTTTCAGTCATACATTTGCGTTATTAGCATTTTTCTTCCTCTCTGTCACGCTAAGGATTTTTGACTTTCATATCTTATTCCTGTTCTTTAATGTCACTTAACTGAGAATGTCACCTGTGATATTTGCTTAAGAATCTTGCTTCATTGAGTTAGGTTAGGTTAGGGCAGGTTAGGGTAGGTTAGGGTAGGTTAGGTTAGGTTAAAGTAGGTTAGATTAAGCTTAATCAGCTTTTATCACCAATGTGTCTCATGTTTGTTTATCTGTCTCTCTTTGTCTTTCATTCCCATTCTATTTATCTCAAGTTTTTTCTCACATTTTATATTATCTAGCCATATTTATTTCTCACTCCTTCATTCTCTATATCTCATTTTCTTTCTCTCTGCCTCAATCTGTCTCTCCTCCTGAGGCATCGTCAGTTCTTATGACATTAATCGAATTTTTTGTGTGTGTGTTTCTCACCTGTAATTGGCTAATCTTGTTGTTTCTCACCTGTATGTGGTAATTCGCAAATCTTGTTTCTCTTGACGATACCATGTTCCGAAGTGCAAAAAACGTTATTCATGGAATCTGTGTGTGTGTGTGTGTGAGTCCAAAGTTCAGTTGTCTTAATAGTAAATGGGTCACCTGTTAACAATGTAATCTGACACACACACACAACTATTGTACCGTGATACAGTGGTGATGTAACTCTGATACTTGATAGTGTGTGTGTGTGTGTGTGTGTGTGTGTGTGTGTGTGTGTGTAAGGCATCTCGTAAATGCATAGGTCACTGAGGGCGAAAGACACCATTGTAATATCACACTTAACACTTAACATACTGGCAACATTTGTTCTCAGTGTGATAATAATTTATATAAACATAGGAAGGAATATACAGTATTTGTTTACCTGTTTATATTTACAGTTGGTTGTATGAATGAAAGAGGTTTAAGTGTTTTGAATCGTTTATAATGTTGTCAATCCTATTAACCGCCTTAGGAATTTATTTAATATAAAATACATGTTTGTTTTGTGCTACATACATGCTGGGGTACGTTGTGTGTGTGTGTGTGTGTGTGTGTGTGTTCAAAGTAAATCTGATGAATGATGGTGGTGGAGATAGTGTCAGGAGGCTCAGGAAGCCAGTTGGCTGACTCTCTCAACAACACCGGAGATCCTGGAGTGAATCACAAGAGGTAAGAAAAGACCCAACACAAAAGGGACTGACTGACTACAAGGTGAAAGTATACAATAAGGACATTTAGAGGAGGACACACACACACACACACACACACACACACACACACACACACACACACACACACACACACGCCATCAACACACGCAGAAAATTTCGGTTCTTGCTGTCATCGGCTATAGTCTTCCATCCCATAAATTACCACCGCCACAAATTCCTCGTCTAAAGTCGCCGCCGCTGAAGCTTCCACTCGCCACTTGCCTTAGACCTCGACACGATTCCCCTTCTAGTTGTCGCCTGAGCTCAGTGACACACATGCTACCGACAGCACAATAAGTAACACGTTAAACCGCGGCGTTGTGGTAGGTTAGTGTGACAGTACGTGTGTTTAGCTGATTGTGGTGTTATTGTGTGAGGGTCTGGTGGTGAGTATGAGGTGAGGAGGATTAGTATGAGGAAGGACGAGATGATAGTGTGAGGGTGAAGATGAAGGTGATGAGTATAAGGAGAAGGTGAGGATAAGTATGAGGAAGGACGAGATGATGATAGTATGTGGGAGGTGGAGAAGACGATGAGTAT